TACAGGGAATTTAAAATTTTTCAATGCACATTTTTAAAGCAGCTCAATATTAAGTAAACCGTCAGTCAAACGTTTTGATTGCAAAAAAAACTATCCTCTGCCACCTTCCAGAATGCATCAATTTTTAGAAATGTGAATTTTAGTCTGATTTTCATATAAAAGGGTTTATTTATGTAAGTCAATTTAAAAAAACACTTTGTTTCTGTTATTTTAAATCTGTACAGTTAGGTATATTCACTAAAAAGCAAGGGGGGTTACTCTTTTCCAGCATACATTTTGAAAGACTTTGAACCATCAGCATAATAAATCATATAAGATTCAGGCATTTTTTGCCAGAGAATGAATTAATTGTTTGAATTTGATACTTTGGGTATTGTCGCATAATTAAAATCATGTCTTGCTTTAATTAATTAAATCTAATTGTCCCTGCGCCATCTTTAGGGCTCATTGTGTAAGTTGTACATGTTTTATTCCTAAAAGCTTCAAATTTCTCAAGGGACTACTTCATACTATTATTACATGTAGAGGGAATTCAAAATTTTTCAATGCACATTTTTAAAGCAGCTCAATATTAAGTAAACCGTCAGTCAAACGTTTTGATTGCAAAAAAAAAACTATCCTCTGCCACCTTATATTTGCTTGTCAAGAAAATTTTACCAGTTGATAGTGCCTCTTATCCAAAAATGTATGATGAGCTAAAATTCCCTGTTTCTTTAGAATTATGGATAAAGTTTACTTCATTAAAGTGAAAAAAAATGTGTCAATCAAGCGCTTCCAGAAATTCGTAGTTTCAATAATTTGATTTTCCAAATTAAATATTTCTTACTGAATTGAATTTTCGTATGAAATCCTAAAGAAACATAGGTCGTGATATTATACAAGTTATTAATGAAAATGCTAACTTCAAATCTCCGTCTATGTCTCTTTAGTCTAAACAGGTGTAGTGAAATTCCGTTGACCAAGTTAATAATTATATAATCAGGGTTTTAAATAGTTTTTACAATCAAATATGACTTCTATGTTCAGTCAATGTTTCAAACGTTCAGAAGAGCGTTCTTTCTCCATGCCCTCTGCACTTAAAAGTGAAAGTTCGTGTCCTTCGAGGGATCCTTAAAACTCGAGGCCCCGTGTCATGGCAGGCGTTTGCACGATAAAGATCAATCAATGCAAACTGGCCCTGAGCGCCGAGTAAAGGTCAAAATTTGAAGTTCTTCATCTGTATATAGTGACGTCTCTATATCTGAATGATTCTCAGAATGGGACGTAAAACAATCAATGTAAGGAAAGCGAGAGTAGTATATGAACACTTTAATAAATAAAACAAAGTAAGAGCCATTCTTGGAAACCCCCAATCAAAATCAGTGATTCAATAACAGATTTTGAACTCAAAAATGAACTTTTATACACTGTAATGGATAAAATACTATTTTTGTAGGACCAAATACAAAGTTTTACTAAACTTTATTATCTATTATTTTTGTCTCTATTCAGATTCACAAATTAAATATGAAACCAGTGCAAAATCTTGGATTTTTCTTTCCAGAAACGCCTAAAAATTGAATTAACTTACTGTAAAACGAGAATATTTGGCGCACTACTAATTTTAGCACCTTTGGCGCAAGCGTCCCTTAGCGCTAAAATTAATTGTGCGCTAATGGATTATACAAACTTAAGATAACTCTCTCCCATCTCTTTTCCATCTCGTTCAAAGAAATGTTCGACAGATGGCACTACTGTGCATGGTGTTTGTAACACTTCTTGCTTTGATTGTAATGCCTGATACAATGTATCACCACCAATGGAGGATGGCAAAAGAACAGATTGGATCTCTTTGAGTCTCAACTAACAAGCATATCGATCGACCTTGCAGACAATACATGAACATGATGAACCTGATTATGTTTACCGTTTATCTCAGTAACTACCCTTAGATGTATGCATGTTTTTATTGATTGATTGATTGTATGTTGTTTAACGTCATTCTCGAGAATGTTTCACTCATATGGAGACGCAACCACTTGCCGGTGGAGGGCTACAAATTTTGTCCTATGCTCGGCACTCAGGGCCTTTGAGCATTGAGGGATCTTTTTCGTGCCAGCACCTACTGCGACACGGGGCCTCGGTTTATACGGTCTCATCCGAAGGACCGGCCTCCACGTCTCACAGTGGGATTCGAACCCGCGACGTAAGGATTGACTTCTTACTTCGCGACTCTAGAGCAGACGCTCTAACCACTGCGCCACGCGGGCGACTGCATGGTTTTAATATAAATAAAATGCGTGAACAGCTCACAATTGTTTATTGAAGTACATTCACAGCTAAAATAAAATGAAATTGTTTTGTGTTCATAAAAATCTCAATTATAAAACTTTAAAATGAGTGTCAAATAAAATCGTAATAAGATGCACAAGTTACATAAAAGAAGAATTCCTGTTGTTTCAAACGACTTTAAAAGCAATCTTTTTTCTCTCTGCTATAGTGTCGACTGCACGGACGAACCACTGCGCATGTATGGGTTTTAGTACGGACAACCTTAGGCTTAAGGAGGACACCATGTTGTTGTTAACGACGCCGTTCTCTGACATTTTGTTGAGAATGCAGTTTGCATACCACGTTTGAAATTCTTTCTTGAGTGCTCCTTTTAACACCTTATTTACTAGCTAGTCTAGAGGTTGTAATTGGTCAGTGCAATTGGGGGGTATGTAGAACAGCTCAATGTGGTTTCGCTTCAGAATGGTGCGTGCCTCTTCGTCCTGGTGACCCTGGAAAACGTCCCACAATAGCAACGCCTTGGATGTCGCTTTGAGTCCCGAGTAATTTTCTTGTTGATTTTACTTAGGGAATGATGATTGCATTTACAAGTCTGAAAATATTTTTGTTGAAATGAATAATTCACACTAATAAAAATTTTCATAAAGTATAATTTTTTTCCTTCATTTTATAAATTTTCATTAGATCATACTTAATCTCTCGTGGTTTCTGAATTTGCTCAGTGATTTTCCGACTGGGTAATGGCTCATCCATCGGGGAATTTGAACTTTGGATGGCATGATGGTGTTTTTCCCTCGTAAAGAAGTTGTGGGTTAAGGAGATCACCCGATGCTGTGCAGGCTAATGTTACTGTAAACTGACGTTTATCATCAAAATCCGTAATCTTCACTTGTTTGTTTCCTTCCAAATCCATTGTCCAGTTACCTACGAGAACAATATTGATACCCGTTTCATCAACATAAATAACCAACGATTTGGGAATAGCGTGTTTCTTAGCAACTGTTTTGATTCTCTCTAGCAAAACTGCCTTCACCAGGTCCAGGAAAATCACTAGATCCACCTACATAGCTATATTTAGCTATATAGGTATTTTAACCTATCACATATAGCTTAATCTACCTATATATAAAAGTGGGGGGGGGGGGTTATGACAATGGCTGTAGCCTTTACACAAATTTCTTCGTTTCAGATCTGCATGAAAACATGCCTGGTGTTTGCAGTTGTAAGATACACAACGATAACAATGCCGTTGTTTACAAAATTTCTAGTGAAAAAATCAAGAAATGTATTATAAAAAAACTAGTCGAGGAAAAACTCTTGCACGAAAAATCAAAATATTTGTGCTTATCTTGTGCAGATTATTGTTCAGAAAATTTAATGGACAACATTGATTCTACAGTTGATGAAATACTTCATTTAATAACTCAACAGAAACTGTCCAATGTTCAGGTTACAAAAATTGTATGTGCAACTAGTGGAAAATGAGAGACACAATATACAGGATGATTGTCGTCAATTAAATACCACGTATAAAAACACAGATTACCTATCGGAGGTAAACGCAGAACAGTGGTTGAAGGATAGAAACAAGATTATTCTGTCGTTTTAGTCAGCAATCTTGGAAAAAAACATTAACGAACTTTCCAATAAAGAGAAATCCAATTTGATTTTTTGCGTAGAGCAAATATATTCTTTATTTAGAGGAAATTTGGTTTTGCCTTTCAGTTTTTGTAAGAATTTGTTATCTTACTATTTTTCTGGAAGTCGAAGTGTATGTACACTGAATTCTGTTGCTGGACCTGGTGCCAGCTATCGCACTCTTCTGTCCTGGATAGGTGACCAAGCTTGCGATCCAGTAAGATTAGATGACAGATCCGATGTGATCAATTTTGACAATAACCAGATTCTTGCACGAAGCTGGAGAGTACACTACGACAATAAATCGATCTTATCAGCAATAACAACTATTGTTCATTTTTTTCCTCATTCCTCATCCTTTCTGCAAGAGAATCCCGACCTATCTCCTAGAAAGTGGCTGTATTCACAGAACTTCAAATCCATTTCCTCTCAGCGTCTCTCTCACTTTGATAAATTCTCAGATATATTTAGATATCTAAGAGTTAAGTTTATTGAAAGTCGTTTGCAGAACATTGTTAAAGAACAAAAGGAAGGGTTGACAGGTCCTACGGATGCCATCCAAGAAGCCTTACACAGACGTAAGAGATTGAGAGAAGACGATGAAGCTCCTTCTAAATGCAGACTTCGACAGGGCCCTTAAGATTTCAGGGTTAGGGTTAGGGTTAGGTTTGGGGTTAGGGTATATAAATCATAAAGGCAAACCGAAGATTGTTATGGGCAACCCTGTGGCCACCAATCCTTGCTCATATGATGCAGTCATGGAAGTGCTGACCAAAAAAATGAGTCCACTACAGGCGGCGGAAGAACCTGGACGGCTGTTGGATGCGATGGACTCCCTTATCTCATCGCCAGCAGAGTAATTAGGGAACATCCAGAACTTCAAGACAAACTTCTGCAGCCAGGTCTAGGTCACTTTGAAATGAACATGACGAAAGGTATATTATAATAAAAGGATGCATTAATAAATTTAAAACAATATTATTATTTTTTTTAAAACAATGCAACAACCCCAATTACAAGTTCGATAATATAAATATCATTTATTGTACATAATTAAAAGCATCCAATTTATAAATCAAGTTCTTATTTATTTCAATAATTATACTAAAGATATACTGTATCATATTTACAGATTCATTCAGGAGGTCATTTTTACTTATGCACTCTCCATCTTCATGTTTCGTTATGGTGTTCGGAGGAACAACGCAGACGTTATTATGGCTGCAAGGCTCAAGTTTGCACCATTATATTTTGGTGTCAACAAATACAACTACCAGCAAATAGAAATCTTAGACTCATTAATGAGAGTGTGTGCACCATCTGAAGTTTGCACATTTATAAATAACAATGAGTCTGTCACCCGTAAGTCTTCCAAAGTTTGCATTTTTTAAGAAGACATTTTACAATGAAATGTCATATGAAAATTATAGAATAAGTATTTGAGATTTTTTTTTAGAATCAGGACATCCTAGTAAAGGGGAAAAGTGTGATTTTATCCTTGAGTCAAGAAATAAAATGTCCAAGAAATGGCTGCCTCCAGGCGCACCCAAAGAAAAACACTGGAATCAAGCCTGTCGTAATCTTGACAAACTGGAAAAGGTTAAAAAACATTTATATAACTTGCACTTTTAAATTTTTATTGCACCATTTCAAACAATTAACAATTTTTAACAACTAATAAATTACATTACAAATGATTTCGACAAAGAAATTTAACTTTTTTAAGAATCGTCAAGTTTGGAAACGTGAATCCAAGACATCGATCATGAATCCAGTACTGGCATCGGCGTGACTTATGATGCAGCCGACCCAGTACCCCTTCTCCTCCTCAGAAAGGCAAACATTACACTGCTTGGTAAGGCCTGCAACAAAGGAGGAAGTCTGGGTACTTTTACTGCGGGTTCTGCATGCTGGTGTTGTGGCACTGACTGACGCAGCTGGTGACCTCCGTCTTTTACATTTACGGGGAGAAGGGGAGGAGGTTAACGATATAGAAAAAGATGTGGAAGGTTGTGGGGAGGGATAATTGAAAGCAGAATGTACTGTTACTTGGATAGTTAGTTTAGTTGGGGAACAAGGTGGGGAGGAGGGTGGAGATGAATCGTCAGATACTTCTGCAGTATGGGAAACAGAGGTGGGATTGGTTGTAGACAGAGTGGTGGAATGGGATGTAGAAGAGGTGGAATGGGATGTAGAAGTTAGTGCGCGTGTCGAAGATATGGTTTGGGAAGTGTGCGCTGAGTGCAAAGAAGTATTAGGGGACAAGACGGATATTATAGACTGTTTGAAGAAATAAATGAAACATTTTATTTGAAATCAAAGAAGTTTAATTCAATTTCAAATTACCAGACCTTGGTATTACAGACTTTAAAATATGTTACCTCTTCAAAAAAGGGCGTATTCCAGTGGCACATTTTGCCTGACGGTGCCCTTATTAATATGGCAACCTCACACTTAGTAGTAGTGTATAATTCTTTGGCCTGAAAATATAGTACACGTATGTTTAATTTAACATATTAAATTAATTATATTACTTTCACAGATTAGACAAAATCTGTACTCCATTTTCAATATTGAGGAGGTAGAAGAAGCCTTATACCATACAAATTTGGAGAAAGAAATCCAGAACTGGAGAATGAACATTAGCGACTCTGAATATTTCTCGACCCCCTTCCAGAAGAGACCACCATCTACTTTGTCGGGAAGAAATCTAGACCCGAGTTGGCAAATTTCTCAACAAAGTGCAAAAACAATTTAATCATATTTTTGAAAGAATGTGCAAAATCTAATTCCGTGCAACTGTGCAAATTTTTGAAACACATATTCATTTTATCTGAAGACAGAAAAAAATATAACAACATTGAAAATAAAACCAAAGTAGAAATAATAAACGTAGTGCAGTCTGAGATGCAGAAATTGAAAAAATTGGATTTTGACATGGGTATGCACTATCTCATATATAATAATAAGAATATTGATAGGAATAATGTATATTTTATTTTAAATAAAATTTGCACAATAAAAAGGGACCAATGAGAAATGTGATTAAAGGAATAAATTTTATTCTTCAACCAGTTAAGGAATAATTAAATATTGATAAATGGTGGTACATGTATATGAATTTATACACTTTTTCTCATTTCCTTTGAACTCTTCTTAAGCTGATGAGAAGTCCAAAGAGTGGGGAAAAATAAAAACAGAGAAAAAATCTATGCTTATAAAATTTTATAAAGAACTGGTGCAACTTTTAGAGGAAATTGAAGATCGCGAGGAAGAGGTAGAAGAGGGTGTGTACCTTTATTTTCACTCGTTCATACAATTTGATAATGTCTATAAATACAATATAAAAGAAAAAAAAACCTTTTTAAACAAAGTAGTTTTTCTTTGGTACAGAGCCTGGGCTCTTTTTGCACTGTCTTCCTGATAACTTTCCCCAGCATTCTGTCCACTCCGAACTTTCCCTCTTTTCGCCTGTCCCTTTTTGTTTTTCCCAGGGTTAAATTTCTTGGCTTCAAATTGGAACCTTTGGCTATCCTGTTTTCATGAAGAGAGAATATGAAATGTTTCGCACCCCCCTTTTCAGCATTAAAAAACAAAAAAAAATACTTTTATTCTCTTTTGACATCTAAATGTATGCCATTTAAAGATATACGACAAAAACTTTTTATTTCCCTTCCTTTTTTTTCTATATAAAACATGTAATATGTTTAGTTTTCAAATCCACGTATTTATTGCATTTTCTGTGCTTCCATAGATATATCACTGAAAGATGCGGATTAGACCTGCTCTGCATCTTACCTTTAGATTGCAACCATTATTTCCGGCGACATTGCACGGGATCACGCACATGAAGAATGGTAAGTTTTTTTTACTTTTTAAAAAGCTTTTAAGACATTCTTTCAATTTTACTGACAAGAAAAAATTGAGAGGATGTATAGAGTGTCTTCTTTTACTATTCATTAAAGCGGCATTTATCAGGTCCAGCACAATGTCTTAATTTAGCTAGATAGCTTTATTAAGCTATTGTAAATAGCTTTATTAAGCTATTTTGAAGGTGAAAATTAGGGAAAAAAATAAGAATAAATAGAAAACAAAAAGTCGCATCATGAGTACTTGTCAACAAGTTCACCCGTGCATTAAAAATACACACAAAAATCACAATATAAAAGCGCTGCGTCTGGGGCGCTGGTCATTCCAAAGATTGTGCTGTTATGTGGAAATGTTAGAGAGGTGGCCTAAATACAACAACTTGATGAATTATTGATAAATTTTACCTGCCAATGTCTTCCAACCTGTTTTTCCCAAGATCTGCACAACACCGGATGTAAGGAATTGCACGTTGTTGCAGAGGATATTCGATTAACGGTAATTTTTCCGTATATTCACAGCGTAGTATGGAAGCTCACTTTGACATACATTAAATAAGAGAATACAAACTTAAAATAATGATTAATACGCATTATATTTGCTGTTAAAATTATTTCTTAAATTTTAATTCAAAGAATTAAATATATTTTGTAAATTTATACGTGTATTACATAATACATTTATTAATTTGATGGAAGTTTGAACATGGGTGGTGGTGGTGGTGGAGGGGGGGGGGTGGCAGTTGATTTGAACTATGTTCGCTCTTAATTTTATTATAGTATTACAATGCCTGTCTGCAGCTGTAAACAACATCTACAGTTTGCAGAAAGTGAAACATTCAAAGTTTATAGAATTGCCAGCAAGAAATTTAAAGCTGCAGTAGTGGACTCCCTCGTCCAAAATGGCCACCTCTCAAACAGGTCAGTGTATTTATGTTCAGCTTGTGTTATATATGCAGAAAAACATTTCTTGCAAGTTGAACATGAAAAACACTTGGATGATCACCTTGTAGACCAAGTTGTAACATTAATAAAAACAAACAATATTTCAAACAAATCAATGTCATCATGCCATTTTCATTTAGTGTTAATTTATTGATTTATTATATCTCGAATAGCAAGACTGTTTGCAACCATTATTCTGCCGCTCACCCCGCAGGAAGCTATTCATCTTTAATAAACTGGATAGAAGAACACTCTACACTACCTATCATCATACCTTCCAAACATGACATTATTACGTTTTTCGATAATAACCAAGTGTTAGCAAGAAATTGGAGAGTGAGGTATGATGCCAAAGCCATACTTAGTGTTATAACGACTATCATCCATATTTTCCAGAACCCTTGCACCGATCTACAAATAAAAAATGAATTTTCTCCAAGAAACTGGTTTTATAACATTGAAATTTCAGAACACGTTTCAGCGTTAATGAATGTTTTTAATTTCTATGAAGAAAAGTTTAGATCTTTAAGAGAAAAATTCATAAAGAACAGGTTGGCCATTATATGTTCCCAGCAACACCCCGGGTTAACATCGACAGAGGACGCTCTTTCATCACTATTGGTAAACAACAAGAAAATGAAATTTAGTGAGAAAAGCAAAAATAAAATAGATGCGTATTGTTTCATTGACCATCATCATAAGAATGCTCCAAAAATTCAAATGGGTAATCCCATCTCAGTCAACCCCTGCTCTTACGAATCAGTTGAAGTTGTTTTAAGCAGCATTAAAGCTGAGGTGGGCATTCCTGAAAACAGAAAGTGGACACTAGTGGGATGCGATGGTCTCCCCTTCCTCCTATCCCATCGCATTATTAAGCACAGTGAAGACCTGCAAGACCTCCTAATTCTACCTGGTTTAGGACATTTTGAAATAAATATGTGCAAAGGTTTTTTTTATTTTTGTGATAGCTTTCAAATAATGTATAATTAGCATCCAAAGTAAATTTTGTTAAACCATAAAAATAGGAATATGAAAATATAAAAATAGGAATATGAAAATATGGTTTTCTTAATATGCAGCTCTTATAAAGCTAGTTTGGCAGGCTTTGGGAGTGGATCTAGCAAAGCTCTTAGGGTATCGGTCACCGAAAGCTCTACAGGCCTGTCTTGATGGAAATGACCACCACAAGGCCATGCAGTTTCTTGAAATATTACTTTTGGGTACAGGTCAGTCCAAACTGATAAACGACGTTATTGATTTAAAGGAAACAAATATTTTAAAAACATTAAAAAAAAAATCAAAAGAACGATTGTGTATTTATATATCTCTATATACATGTATAGGAGATGAATTGTTATACCCTTATGTGAAGGATTGCTTTGAAAAAGAAACTGTTCCTTCCACAAATGGCTATTTTACCTGGTGTAAAAATGTGGTGGATCCAAACTACAAGTAAATATTTCAACATCGTTTAATATTTGTAAAGAAAATGATGCATGGTATGGTAATAAAATTAATATATATCTATTATAATACAGGTTTATTATGGAGTGTATATTCACTTATGCCCTCGCAGTCTATTTATTCCGTGCTGGAGTCAGAAGAAATAACAGTGATGCTATAATGGCGTCTAGGATAAAATTTTGCCCACTTTACTTCGGTGTCAGCAAAACTAATTACCAGCAGATTTAAATGCTGGACTAGATGATGTGAGTGTGTGCACCTGTTGAAATTCGACAATACCTTGAGGACCACGAATCTTTCACCCGTAAGAGATGCACTGCTGCACATTAAAAGCACAGTTCATATAAAGAATATAGCACTGCACTAATTAATTCTTTAACGATGTTTTCATGGTTATTTTGATGAAGAATATATAATGTTGTCTCAGTAAAAGTTACCTGGACGCCCTGAAATCAAAACCAGAGAAAAAAACCAAAAAAAACTACAAAAAACCAGAAAAAACCAAAAAAACTACAAAACCAACAAAAATAACAAAAAAAGCCCTTTTATGCTACGTTTACACTATGTTCCCGGCAGCCACGGCAATCACGTTTCAGGCCACCGTGGAAACAACGGGACGGGCGTGAGAAAACTTGGGGCAACGGGATGGGCAAACGTAACTCATCGCGATTGCCGTGGATGCCGTGCCAGATTTTTAAACTGTCAAAAAATTTGCCAAGGCGGCCACGTTGCAGATGTGAAACTTAGTAGGTCGTAGTAAAACGGAATAAACGCAACAAAACGCGACAGCACGTAATAGACCGTAACAGAACTTGGAGGCAGTCCGCAGTGGGACGGGAGAATGTATATTTCCATTCATCTCACGGTCCATTCACGTTTTGAGACGTTTTGCTGAGTTTAGTCCGCGTTCTGTCACGACTAGTTCACGGTTGTTGTCCGTTTTATCACGTTCTGCCACGTTTCAACACGGTCCTCACGGCAAACTAGGGTGTATGTCAGCCGTTTCCTCGCGTTCAATCGCGGTTCGTCCCGGCATGTTACGGTTTATGGTCCCGGTGCGTTGCGTTCTACTACGGTCTGCCACGGCGCACGCGGTCTGAGAGGAAGCATTTAAAAGCCGGGCACTGCAGAGAAGTTTCATTATGGATTCATATGGATCTCCGCCTTATTCGTCTCATTCCTAGTTGCTGCACTCCTGCCTTCCCTCTCTGTAACTGCTGCTCGTTCTCTTCATTTTGACGAAGTGATTTTAGGTATGCACCCAGAAAACACGCGAAAATAAAATCTTCGTCTTGGGAATTCATGATGTTTTATCTTCGAAGGGTTATGATACAATGATTGTTTCTGGTTAGGAGACCTTCTCTGGTACAAACGTGATCCATAGTTTCCCGGCGTCCATGTTTCATACGTAGAAAGACTTGACAGTACGTGAGAAACGTATAAGAACTTCATAAGAACGCGAGAAACGAGAGGGGACCTATCAGAACGTAAGAGGCCTGGGGGGAACGTGCTGGCATACGTGGCAGAACCGTAGTGCGCCGTGGAGCCTCCGGCACTCCACGGCAACTTCTTCCTACGGCCCATCACGGATTCCGTAGAAGACCGTAGAAGACCGCAAAAGAACTTGTCAAGACTTGGAGATATAGAGGGGAAAATAACCAAAATCTCACGGCGCACTACGTTTCGGGCAAACGGGGCTGCCGTGGCTGCCGGGAACATAGTGTAAACGTAGCATTAAGGGCTACCCAATTGTTTCGAAAAGATGCCTACTTAAACAGTCAATAAAAAAAAAGAAACATTGTGTTTCTCTCAAGTTATAACACCAGGTCACTTTTTTAAAAAAAATTATGTGTTCAAGTACGACTTAATTTTCTATGTAAATTATGCCGCCATGATGAATCTCGACAAGATTTTACCCCCGTGAAAAAGGCTTGTAATCCACCTTGTAGGTCTTTTAAAGTTATTTCACATTGTTAATGAATGTGATTATGTTATCCCTCACCTATATGTTTAATGTCAGCTATGCTAAATAACCCATTTCTGTGTAATTTGAGAGAATGTTTTTGTCATGTGCTTAAAGTATGGCCTGCTTTTCATGTCATCATTTAAAGTAGATCCTAAATAAAATCTGTCTTAAAAAATACATTTTACAAATGACATTTAATATGATTAGAGTAAAGGAATCCATATATATGAGATATTATTTTGCATTACATTTATAAGAGGCATTGTCTCATGTAATTTAATAACAAAAGATGGGTTTTATTTTTCTATACAGTCCTCAAACCTGGAAGATATGTTTTGTTCCTAACCAATCCATTCTCTAAGTGAAGTGAAGCCTGGCTGTTGGTCTTCCTTTGGGAAATACACAGTGAAATAACTAACATAAAAACAAAAACAAAACTTGAATCTAAAAAAAAAGTTTCAATATCATATTAATTTATTTCATTATTATTAAGATAATTATTTAAAATGTTTGTATTTTTTAAAATGGATTAAAAATAAAATCTGGTAATGGAAATCAATACCATAAAGATAACAAGTTTTTAATCTTTAAGTGCTCATAAAATTTCTGAATTTTCCATTTAAATATTGACATTATATCACAGGGGAAAGAAAAAAACTACTTGAGTGTTTCTACTGACCCCCTCCAGAGATCTGCTTATGAGTGCATGGGGATTGCGGTGGACCTTCATCTCCTGTTTAAAACAGACATTAGAGTATGACAGATAAAAAAGGTACTTTTTTTTTCTTCTTTATTTTTACATCACATGAAAACACACAATTAATGATGAAGAATGTACACATGTTTTTCATAAGTGTGTACAAATTGTTCAATATAATGTCTATAATGAATCCAATTTCCTTGGGCTAGTCCACACCCAATCTTGTAAGGAAAAGCATAAGTCTGGTAAGGTAAACTTTCCCCCATTTCTTGTAAACAAGTTTGAAACCATTGCTCTCTGTTTTGTGGGGTATCCTGATATGTGGAAATTCTTTTAGGTCGGTGACTTGCTTTTCCATAATCCCATTGAGCTAATAAACAAATGACCACAGGAGTTTGTGAGGGAAACACCTTAATAGTGCCTGGAATTCCTCTATCTTCTTCTACGGCTAAATTTCTAGTCCCTAGAGGTCTGCGAGTGGCATAGAGATTAGCTTGTGGGAATTTCTCTGCAATACTTTGACTCAATCCATGAGCTTTTACAGTTAAACAATTACATTGATGAACAATAGCTTCTACCTCACAGTTGAGTAAATCACCTTGTATCTCCTGGAGACTCATGATGTAAAATGAATCTATTTTTTAAAAACACCCTTGTTTTTATAGAACAACAACAACAACACAATATAACAAGATTTCAAATTTTTATTATTCAGGTAAATCTACAATCTCTTGGAACTAATTCTTTGTTTCTCACATCAGGTTTTAGAACTCCATATTCTTCATAGTCACCTTGTCTATAAAAAGTTTTTTCCAATTCTGGGGTGCTGTGAGACATCTCAAAACAGGTTAATTTATGAATCTTTCTGTACATGTATCTCCCTTGAACTCTGTTTTTCATTTGAATGAATCGTCTCACATGATGAAGTTTTCCAGTTTCTGGATGCCTTTCTTTTTGTAAGATCAAGTATTGATAATCACTTCCAATGATTTGATCTACATCTTCCTGTCGGCACCCAGTTAAATTAAATATCCAATTATTGGCTATTCTACCTCTGTCTTGTTTTAAGTAAGCAATATATCCATTGCCTGTATTTTCTTTCTGTTTATTTTGATAATGAGCCTTAATATCCTCCAAGAGTTTGTTTGTTCTTATGTTTTCCTCCTCCTCCTGAGGTTTATATTCTACAGGATGTTCTTCCATCAAGGGAGGTGGTATAAATTCTGCAGGATGTTCTACCATCAAGGGAGGTGGTATATCTTTTCCTCCCTCCTGTATAAGTAACCATTCAGTTTCCTTTAATCTAGTGTTCTGACTCATTTTTTTGCTGGAGGTGTTACCCATAATGAAGCCAGTCCACAACTGAGGTGTGTTTTGTACCATGTTTACTATTTATACCTTTTTTAAAATTGTATCAATTTTTTCCCCCAATCTTTAAAAATCCCCTCAACACTTTTTGTTTTGGTGTTTTGAAAAAAAAAAAATCTATGGTTAAAGGGAGATAACCTATTTTTTAAAAATGACAAAAAACCCACAATTTTTTTTCTTTTCTTTTTTATTGAGATCTAACAATAAATAACATTTCAATCTTTTTTTTTTTATTTATTCACATCTTGACCAGCTCACATTCTTTAAGAACTTTTTCTTCCTAGCTTCTCTAGCTGCAATAGCTTCAGGTTTCTTCCAAGCTCCTATCTCCCATTCTATCCAATCTCTGGGCTCCAATTCCTTATTTCTCTCCTCCGGTTTCAGAACACCATATTCTTCATAGTCACCTCCTTGCTTGTAAAACATACTTTCCAATTCTGGAGTACTGTGAGACATAGCAAAATCAGCAGTGATATGAAGTCTGCACATAGTCAGTCCTCCTTCTGGTTCCTTCATTTGAATGAATCCCCTGATTTGATGCAGTTCTCCTGTCCAGGGATGTCTTTCCTTTTGTATAATCAAATACTGGAAACCGAAGAAGAAATCATCTTGGTTGCTCAGAAACATGTCTATATCTTCTTCTTCTTTAGGCTCTTTAATGATGAAAGTCCAATTAATGGCTGTCCTATAAAATCTGTCTGGATCATTAGGATCCTTCACAGGCTCATCCAGGGGTAAATATTCATTCTTAGGTTCCGGATCCAAGGTTTTCAACTCTATTCTTCTTTTTGTTTGAGGAGCTTCGTGATCCCCCTCCATAGGTTCCGTCATTCTCTTTTCTAATAAGGTAAATTTATCTTTATCCATCTCCATGTCTTCTAATATTCTAGGAATTCGTTTGCCAAACTGTCGTTTACTCAACCACATGCCCCACCAACTGAGGAGGATCGTCTTTAACACCTTGTTTTTATACCCCTCACCTTGAAAGATAAGGGCCGTGTGCAAAACATACTTTTGACCTACGTTTTTTTTATGCTGACTACACAGGTAAATACTTGGCACCGAGTCAAGATTATGACGTCACGCTTCACAGTCAAAAGCTCAGTCTAGCCTAACCAGTTCAAAACTGGATTTTCTGAAAACACTAACACATAAATAATAAGAACACCGATTTTGATTTTTTTTCATTCTTTATTTGTAACAACAACAACAACAAACAACAAACAAACAACAACAAACAATGCATTTACAATACATTTTGATAAAAACATTGACACTTTTGTCCCTGACCCGTAGGTAATTTATGATAAGTGTTTTTAAACCAATTCGCCACATATCTGTCCCTTTGTAAAGCCGTACTCTGGTCAAAGGGGAATAGCCACTCGTCGGTTTTCTTTCTTTTCTTGTCTCTTTGATGTAAATAATACACGCAATATTGTCCACACACATCGGTATTCCAGTCTTGATAGCGATACGGATTATAAGTCCATTGTTGAGCATGACGCTGGATAAAATCTTGAATTTCTTTTTGTAAGGGAGGAAATCCATAAGAATCGAAATATTCCACCACGGGATTGCTCACATATAGACACACCCAGTGTTCTCCAGGTCGATCTTGAGGATCCGTATTGACCACGACAGCTTTTTCTCCAGGTCTTAATTGATCCGGTAATAAATCTACAGGATACACACCTCCAAAAGAACTCTTGAATTCTCTGGATAAGACTTCTCTCAATTGTCCCGTATCCATTTTTTTTTAGTAATCAATGCTCACTTCTCTCTGTTTGTTAATTTCTAATAGGTTATCGAATTCTGCATACACCACACAATTGATGGTGTTAACCGTATTGTTGGTAAACTGCACTTCTACTCTCAGATTTCCTGTTTCTATGATGTGGAATTTATCCGATTGCGCTTCTTGGTCTTTAGTGAAATCCCAGCCCCATAGAGTGTAGCCGCTTTTATACTCTTCTAGGGTGATGTCCGGAGCCCAATCTTCTCCTAATTTTCCCAGAGCTTGATACAGACTGAGATATGATCTCAGATATAAATCGTCGTTGAAATTAGGTTCAAAACAACGAGTACTCATGGTCTCTCCGTTGATACTGACATCTAATTTCTTAATCCCAAAGTTTTGGAAATGAAAGGGATTTTTAGTTTTATCTCCGTTAAAGGCCGCATTCTCCACAAAGCCTAAAATGAGACGTTTAGGCATCTGACCTTGAAACAGATGATCCGTAATCTTAGACTGGGTCCCTATGGGGATGGTAAAGGTTTTCACTTCCACTCTTCTCAAGGGATATTTGGCTCTGTGGGTATTCAAACTCTGATTAATGGTATTCATCATGACTGCTGTGGGTTTGACTTTTCTCACCCACAAGATCATACTCAATATTTTCACTTTTCCTGTACTTCCTCCTTTGATCATCATGTAGAAAGAGGGTCTAGCTCGATTAAATCGCAAACGGACGTCCACTCCATTGGGCAGAAATCGATCTTGTTGAAACAAATCCAAATGTAAAGTATCCAGCAAACTGATTTTCTTACTGTCAGCAATAGCTTGGTGTCTTTTTCGGAATCCTTCGTTTTTAGAATTGACCGGTAACGCTGTGAGGATGGGTTCGCTAATGGTCACCGTGTCGGCCCCACCATTTGCAGCTGGAGTTACGTCAAAGGTTTTATTTTGAGCTACACCAAGAGCTTCTAACCCCACTTCGTCCATGTGTCCTGCCGTATCTTTTTCCCACAGACTACAGGCCCTCGTCTGTGTCTTTAAAGTTCTGGGTCGGTAAGACAATAATTTCTCCAGATAAGCTTTCTAAGGATAAGTATCCGTCCCCGGAGTCACTATTTTGCCATTCAGACTGACATCGATTTCCGTAAACATGGAATGTAAGATATTATTCACGGGACTGGAAGTGCTGTTCGCCCCAGTCAGATTAATTCCATCGTCTTTGGTAAATTTACATACCATTTGAACACAAGTTTGAGATAAATCCAGATAGTGATCCCCTTGTCCTTTGATTTCAAATTCGATGGGAGCGGTGTCGGAATCTAAAGTACTGGAAATGGGGTAATATTCTTCCCATTTCGAGTCTTCTAAAACAATATTAGTCGGAGGGACTTGAAACAATTCTAAATTGTTCATCCCACACGCACAGGAATCGGGCTGTAACATGATGTGTCTACTAGGATTCAGTTTTCACAAATGAACCTTCTGTTCCCTGGACTGTCCTATTTATACTCTCTCTCTCTCTCTCAGTCAAACACATCTAAATGACGTTTTCTTTTAGGAATTCCTCCTTGTTTTTTTCTTTTTCTCTTAGGACCCCCTCGGGCTAACAGGACTCTTCCTTTCCCTGTCTGCTTTCTTCTTTTTCTTCTTCTTCTTCCTTGACCTGTTTGTCCTTTTTTCTTCTTCTTCTTTCTAAAGGGTAAAGAGACTCCTCGATTGAAAGCAAATAGACCTGTATTTTTGGCCGCATTGAGTCCGTGGGTTAAAAGAGCATTTCTGATGTTTTTTCTTTTTCCCACCACATCTCTGCCTATCTTCACTCCGGCCATGAGGGCTTGTTGTTTCCCATGTTGGAGTAAATCTTTGACAAATCCTCGACCTTTTTGTAACCCCATGGCTAACTCGGCCGCGTTTTTGAGAGTCAAACCTGAGTCTGTGCCTGGTAGGGGTATGTTAGGGACTGCTGCCGAGAGGAAGTTTAAAAAATTTCCTCCTTTTTGAGGTTTCATGTGAGTTAAAAGCCTACCCAATTTGAGTAATTGTGTAGCAGGAAGTCCGGGTGAAAAATTATCCAAGGGAAGGGCTCCCACCAATCCAGAGATGATAGAACCTACTGCTCCGCCTTTTTGACGTAATAAACCTTTATGATAAGTCCAACTGTGTCCTCTTTGTCTCAGTTATCCGGGATGATACTGCATGGTTCATGTCTCTTGTTTAACTGACCTTTCTGTCATCAGGGACTTCCTTTTATACCCTTTTTTAGGGCTGAATACAATACAGACAGCAGACCAGGCAAGCCACCACGCCCAATAAGATGGAACACAATAACGGTACATTCATCTCAGTAGACTTTTCTGAAATGAAGTTTCACCACTGATTTACCACTTACAAAGGGCATGGGAGTCCCTAAAGGAGTCATGATGTGAATCTCAATGGTATCGACATGTTTTTTACTTAGTTTCAAATATTCCGCTCGAATGGGTTCCCATTTGGCTTGTTTTGAATCCTCCAAATGAA